GGCCTAATTAATTTCATTCAATTTTATTTATATATTTTTTTATTTTAACGTGTTTTGGGTCTATTAGCTGATTGCATCTTTCGATATGCAATTAAAATTTGAATTTGAGGAAATACAATTGCAAAGGCGTGCGAAACGAGGTCTAGATTTGCAACATAATGCAAAAAATCACTCAAGGCTGGGGAATGAGTCGTCGGTCGGCCCCGGGTCGAAGCCGCTCGGCATGGCCGGGCATCGATCCGCCGTTCGTAGCAACCGTTCAGTTATGACGACGGGAAGAGTACTTACGAGGTGTACTCACAGGTTCACCCCGAGGACTTTCGACCTCGATGGTGGTACGTTCTGTTTCGACTTCTCGTTCACCGAGAAATGGCATGAGCCGTGACATGGAGCCACGACGTAAACCATGACATGAGCCATGACATGGTTCCTCTATGAGGCCATTTTAGAATAGCAAAGGATTGCATCGTCTTCCCGGTATGGTAACGGCAAATGAGAAAATGTTAAATATGAAATATGAAATTTGGCGATGAGCATCCAGATTCGCCTGAAGATTTGCGACAATTAGATTTTATTTGTCTGGATTTTGTCCTCGATCTTGATGGGACTCGATCCACGGCACCCCTTGGTCCTTGATCCACAGAATAGGGAAATGCGATGGCAAAATTCCTGCCATTTCTTCCGACAAAATTTTGCTTGCAAAAACAACTGATTTCTTTCCTCTTGATCTTCGTTGATAAATATAATACATATATTAATTAATCAATTAATTATTACTTAATATTAATATAAATAAATTCCTTAAAATCAACAGAAACAACCTCTTGTAACGTATGACGAAAAAATGAAAAATGAAAAAAGAAACTTACCCCTCAGGATCTTGGCCGCCGGCGCCCATTTCCTCCTCGAGCCGCGCGACGTCGTTCGCGAGGGCCTGCCACTGGTGGGCCTTGATCTCCAGTTGGCTGAGGGGGCTGCCGCGCTCGCATTCTTGGATTTGGCTCTCGAGGTCCATGTATTCGTTGAGGGTGGCTTCGTCCACGTCGGCCTGGGGAGTTTTATTGCATTAATTTTAATTAATTAATTAATTAATGTGGGGGGGGGGGGTTGGGGTTACCTCTCGGCTGGACGTGGGTCGAGGCACGCCGCCGGTGTCTCCGGTCAGGCTTCTGGGGTAAGGCCGCTGTGGGAAAAGAATTTCATGGAAAATGTTCATTAGGATATTGGTTTTTGCTTAATGACGATGATTAACGATTAAAAAAAAATATTTATTTTTTGTCGAGTTTCGACACTTCTTGCTTTCTTTTGCGAGGAGGAAAGACGACGGTCGCCTTCGATCGTGTGTCGTTCCGGCCGACCTACGACAACACGATTCGCGATCGATCACTTGCGGCCACGAAACGTTGATGGGCGGAAGTGTTCGGTCGATGAGAGGGCGTGACGAAAGGAAAGCTTCAATCATTTAGCGGTTTTCGAGCGGTTTATAAAGAGACAGCGAGTAGCGGCTTCGCGTTCTGATGTCAATATCGCCCCTTCGCGATGTCAGGGGATCAGTTTGTCTCTCTTTGTACTGATGCTCCCCCCCCCCCACCCCCCACCCCCCCCAACCCCCTTGTCCACGACACCCTTAAGTTCCTTCTATCAAATACGAGAGCGAGAAGCGAAACGCGGCACAGAGACGAAACGCGGCACAGAGACGAAACGCGGCACCGAGACGAAACACGGCACGGAAGCCTCACCATGTCATGGTTGGAATACGGCGGGACCTGCTCCGTGCTCGGCCCGCAACCCATTCCTCCTCCCTTCGAGATTCTTCCTCGTGTGTCTTGCACTCAATCCAGGGCACTCGTGTCCCCCATCATCGCCCCAACGACTAGATAACGACTAGATAACGAAAAGATAACGAGAAGATAACGGCATTTCCTCCAGGTGCAACGGCGATCCACGCGTTTCTTCGTATTTTCAGCATTTCGACCATGAGTCCATTTTAAAGTGGTGAAGTGATTTAGCGATTTGGTGATTTTTGGGAGGGACGAGAAAAGTCTTTTCTAAAAATGATTTATTTAGTCGATAATTATTAATTATATAAATATATAGGAAAAGAACATCCCTTCGAGGTAATCTCGTCATATATATATATATATATATATCTCGTACATATATATATAAAGGAAATACCAATGGTGCCTGT